TTTCATTTCGATGATGAAGGATGAGGATTATATAATAATAATAATAATATATTTATTGTTGAAAAAAGCAAATGATAATAAATGGCCATGGTCCGAATGATTCCATGGTGAATTTTTTTTTCATGTTTTATCATCAATATAATGGTAAAAATGTAATAATAAACATAATAATCGGATTAATCTAATAAGATATATAACAATGACAGTGATGTTCAATGTTTTGTCAACAACAATATATTGATAATGAACATATAGCAATGTGTAACAACAATGATGATGATATGTTTCAAATATAGATAATTGAAAAATCTTGTCATTAACCAATGACAATCCAATGGAAATTCACAATCATTGATCATACAGCTTGTTTGTTTGTTTGTTTGTTTGCAGTAGCCAAAACCAAAAAAATTCAAAAAATTTTAAAAATTCACGACAAATTCAATGAAATTCAATTCTTGATGGAAAAAACAAGAAGAAAAAAAATGTTTAGAAATTCAATTTTTTACGGGATCCAAAAAAAAGTAAAGTTCAACTCGAATGACGTGACAACGAATAAATGGAATGAAATTCAAGGTAAAAATTCCTTGTTGAAAATTGAAAAAATTTTTTCCGTTCGTTTGTTTGTTTGTTTGTTTGTGATTCTTATATTTTGTCTTGGCTTTTATTTTTTTTTTTTTTTTTTTTTGTTGTTGTGTTGATATTATCGTTTCAAGATGCTTTCACTTTCTCTCTCTCTGTACCATTGTGTGTTCATATATAAAGTTATAAATGACATACACTCTTGACATCACTTGTACAAAGTCAGTCAAACAAACAAACAAACGAAACAAAACGAAAAAAAAAGAAAAAAATCGTCACATTCTTGAATTTTCAGATTTTCTTCATATTTGATGCACATAAGTGGCCATCATCTTTTGTAGTGTAAGATAGTTGTTATTTTTGGGTTTTCCGTCATCGTCATCGTCATCATCATTAAGACAATGATGATGTTTTTGATACAAAAAAAAAGACAGACAGAGAGAAAAATCACTAAAATAGAATGAATGACCAAAGTGAATGAGAGACCAAATGTTTTTATTTTCTACAAACTAAATAGAAAATGGAAAGAAATTCGATACCATCATGATAGTGAAAATGAAAAAAATTCAAATTTCAAATGTAGAAGAAACAAAAAAGCAAATGTAAATGTAAATCTCATTACAAATAATGAACAAATAAAATTCATTTCTATAAAAGTGAAAATAGTGGATGATTGATAATTGGAAATAATCAATCGGAACAACAAAAGTATGGTATTGTGACTTAAAGATTGGGATTAAAGAGAAAAGCAGCAAAAAAAAAGTTTTGTTTGTTTGTTGCGGAAAATTATTCTTTCCAGAATCAAACTAGTGCTAGTGTGTCTGTGTCTTCAAGGATTTAAAAATTTTTGATTCACATCCAAAATTGATGATGATGATGGAGGATATTTGTCAAATCGAATCAGAGAAACAACAACAACAACAACAAAAAAGTTTTAGTTTTTCTCATCAACAATAATAATAAATCACACGGGATACAACATAGACAATCGATCGATTGATGTCTATATATAACAAGCAATGAACGTTTCTGGATAGATTAACATCGTTAATCATCGATAATAATAACCGTACAATGTTTCTTATGGACATTTGACAGGATTGGGCGTCATTTTTTTTCTTTACTCACGAAACATGATCAGAATTTTTTTAGTATGAAAATTCTAAAAGTGAAAAAAAGAAATTCTTTAGCTTCAATTACCATCAGTAAATCATTGTGTGGAATTCTAAACAAAATGAAAAATTCAATCAAAACAAAAAATATAAAAAAGCTACTTTGTGATCTCTATTCATTCATCGATGATGATCATGATGATGATGATGAACAAATTGACTGAACCTGATTCTGAATTCTGAATTCAATGCACAGAAAAAAAGAAAGAATCTTTCATCAATTACACAGATTTATGGTTGAATGATTCAATGAATAATAAAAATTAACAAAATAGAACTTACATCCCAAAATGTTGAAGAATTTCTTGGTGTTTTTTGTTGTTGCTGCTGTTGTTTATAGTTCTGTTGACGTTGATTAGATGACGATGATGGAAAAGAATTTGCTGATATCGATGAAAATGTGAATCTATTCAAATTGTTTGTATGTTGTTCTTTATGTGGCTGTTGTCGATAAATTGATTCTGTTATTGGCTGTTGTTGAATAATAGCTGATTCGATCTGATCCAGATCAAAAGATGCTTCTGAAAGCGAAGATGTTGATGTTGATGTTGATGATGATGATGATGATGATGATGATGATTCAGAATCCGATGATGATGATGAAGAAGATGATGTTGATGGTTCACGAGGTAACAATTCACTATGAAGAGTTTGATTTGAATTTTCAATATTTTTCTCCTTTGTATTGGTAGCAGTAGTAGTGGATGGATTAATTTGATAACAAAATTTTGAACGATGACGAATGTTTCGAGGTTGTTGATTTCTTGATGATCTTGGATTATCAATAAGACTATGATGTTTTCGTTGATGTTGATTGTGATTGATTGAGTGATGATTTAAATTCTGATCATTTTCATCACTTGATGATGATGATGATGAATAAAATATTTCAAAATTATCATTTCGTTGTACAGTTATTGGCCGTCGATTAACAATGTTACGTTGATTGGAATGTTTATTATAACCACCACTATTACCGCAAATATTTAATGTTGTTTCATCCAATGATGATGAATATTTTTTCAATTGTTTTTCTTTTTGTTGTTGTTGTTGTGTTGTGAAGAATGTTTCCAATAATGAAAAACACTTCTAGGTGGTGGTGGTGGCGGTTGTGGTGGCCGATAATTATTAGTTGTAGATGATGATGGTGGATGATTAACATCGGCCGTTTTATCGGCGTGGCTCATGACGATCCACTTTCTTTATTTAACAACAACAACAACAACGACAACAATATAAATGCTATGTATTCATATTCATTTGTTCATACATACCTTTTATATATGAATTGAATCAGACATAATTACGACACATGACAAATCAACGAAGCGAATAATTTCAATGAACAGAATGTAAAATCACATTTGCATGGAAGAAATAAAAAAAAAAATGATCAATTAAATGGAATTGGTAATGAAACAAACAACAACAACAACAACAACTATTAATTTTAAATTGTCAAGTTGTCATCAATTGATCGATTCTATTTTACACACACAATTCGGGTGAATGGCATACACATACACACACTGATTTCACTTATCCATCAAACCAATAGTAGCAAAACGTTGTCGTTGTTTTATTTTTATTTACGATTAAAGATCGACTATTCCATTCTATGATTATAGCCATCGTCGTCGTCGTCGTCGTGTGTGCAGGTTTGTCAGTCAATTCTTGCAGAATTACGCAGAATCTTAATACACCGGCACAATACTGATGATGATATTGTTTTGATACAGCTTCCACATACTGTTTGTTGTTTGTTTTGTTTTATTTGAAATTCATTCGTCAAAACTGAAGAAAAAAATTGTCCGGATGCTTCAATGAATTCATTGCTACAGTACAGTGGAAAATGAAATCAAATCAAATAAAATGAGCTGAGTATTAGCGCGTTGGTTGGTTGGTTGGTTGTCGTTGGTCGTTCAATCATCATACTGCAGATATATTCCCAATGAAAAATTTTTCTGTTTCAAAACTACCGAATGAAAAACGGATGCTATTTGGTGGTGGTGGTGGTGGTAATGGTGGTAGTGCTAAAAATGAAAGAAAAAAAATTTGTTTTGAGTCGACGTCCTAAAATGCTTGTGTTTTAGTGAATACTTACCGATTTATTTTTTTTGGCTTCCGTTAGCCAAAAAATTTTTTTCGTTTATGTTACCCTGAAACATTTGTTGTAGTGGCATCATTGTAACAACAACAACAACAACAACAACAGCAGCAGCAGAAAAAAAAATTGACAAAGCGGATTTTTTTTTTTGATTTTAGTGTTTCTGGATCATTCTCAGATCCTTATGATGATGATGATGATTCGATTCGATTCGATTCGACGCTCTTTGTTCAGTTTTTGATTATATTTTTTTTCGTCTTTTTCTTCTTGCACCACATTGTGTATCATTTTTGTATAGTTGTTAAACTACTGCTGTTGGTTGTATACAAAATAACCAGGAGAACCAGAACAATAACAGGGACATACATACACACACACACACACACAAACAAAAAGTACCTAGCTAGGGCATACACTTTTGACAAACAAGACGAGACTGTAACATAAAATAACACAATAAAAGACGAGGATTTCATGGCAGAAAAAAAAACTGAAAAACGATAATAATAAAAAGCCATGAAAAAAAAGTGGCAGATGTTCAATGACACATTGAATGAATGAACCAAATGGCACAAAAATTTGAATGGACAAATCGATTGATAATATAATAGGGGGTCCATCCGTTCAATGAATTCAGACGACTAATTGATGAAAATTTTTGACACACTTGAAACGGGAAATTTCGGTTCAATGGTTCTGTATTTGTCTCTGCATATATTGGTCTTGTTGTCTTTGACCCTCAGATGATGATAAATTTCAAATATTTCTCAGTATTCATGACCTATTGATAAAATACATCCGTATGTCAGATCAAAAAAACATGTTTCGTGGTAGTAACAGTATAGGAAAAATGAACTTTTTGATGAATTTTTTTTTTGTTTGGATTTTGGAAAAGCAAAACTTTTTCTTCTTCGAATTTATCATCATCATCATCAAAATCTTTATTAACCAACAACAATAATGCCATCTAGTATCGAATGAAAACATTTACTTCTAAATCTACTTTTATGGTTCATTGCGATAAAAATAGAAAAGAAGTTTAATTCAAAAAAAAAACAACTTTTGTCATTTGATCATTTTTGTTTCGAAATTTCTATCGTGTTTGTAATTTTTTATGCGTTTGTTATTTCATCGACAACAAAATGCCACGAATTACATTTCCATTCAAAATTCATCGTTCACGATCATATACATTGAATGATGATTGTCAAAAGAATAGTTGTAAACATCATCAAAATGTATTACGTATTGGTGGTGAATATGTTCCAGTATTTGAAATTTTAAATTTTGGTTCTGTATCAGATAAAGAATTATTATACATACGTATTGCTAAACAAGGTCTTATAATATCACATAAACCATCTGTCAATCTAAGCTCATTAGCTGGATCATTGGATCGACCAAAATCGGAAATGCGTAATTATCATGTGTTACCAGCGGCTTCAAATCATCATCATTTATATCTACAACGATATAATACATTACGTGGACCTTGCCATCGTACCCGTTCTGATCGTTGTCGTCTAATTAAATGGGATCAAATTTCTGGCATACAAATTTTGAAACCAAAATCACTTATTTTCAAACTTAATCGTTTAGAAGACAACAACATTGTAGATGATTGTGATACTGATGTTGTAGATGAATTACGATTATATCGATTTTGTTCACATCGTAATGAAAACATTTCATTAGCATCATTATTACATGATTATCGATCCAAAATAAATGATAATGATGACGATGAACTATTACGATTCGAATTTCTTATCAAACAAGATCTTGAAGCTATGATTGCATTTGGCATACATCATCAATTATTACAACCAGATGATGATGGCCATTGTGGTGTTAGAACTTTTGATCATATCAAAAACACTAACAACACTAATAATAAAAATGGTAAAATTTTTTCCCGATTATTTCGTTGGATTAATCGTCATATGATTGTTACATTTAGATCATCTACAAAACAACAATAACAACTGATGATGATAATCAATCAATCAAACAATCAATTAGCTTTATAAATAAGTTTCATTCATATATTATCGACATATTAACTTGAAATTTATATTCATTTTAATCATGAAATTATAAATTGAAAATTATCATTGAAATATGTTTGTAAATGTTTCAAAAAAAATGTCTGCTGTGTGTAATTATGTCATTACAAATTTTTTTTTCACTCATGAAATTAAAGTATAAATTGTGAAAGATTAACAATTGTATGTATGAATGTGTGAACATTTTTGTTTTTTTCGAAAAAGTAGAAAAAAATAGAAATTGAATTTAAATTTTAATGATTGAAAAAAAAGAGAATCTGTTTATATTGTTTGCCATTAAGCATAGTAAAGAACACGTTTAAGTGATTGATGAATTTTTACCAATTCATTCAAGCGATCAATCAATTTCTTTTCATAATCACCTTGAATGATTTGGCCACGAGGCATACATAGTTTTTCAATTTGGGCTTCAACATGAATTTTAGCACGATAAGCACAAAGATCAGCATAACGAACTGGTGTTGGCAAAGCAATGGCACCACCACGGAATCGAGTACAATTGTGGCAAAGATAAAAAACAAATTTTTGCAATGCATCATTGTTGAATATTTTCTTGTCGAAATCATTTTCCAATATAACATATTTCATTGGACGTGATGTTCCCTATGAATAACACAATTTATTAATTACAACAACAACAACAACAAAAAACAATCACTTACCAATTGTGAGAAATGTGAATTCAAGAAAAACATGTGTTGTGATGGATCGACAATAGTGTGATCGACAACAGTTCCCGATGGTACATTATACACGGGACGATCATTTGGGCCACTCGGTTTGGACAATACAAATCGTGTTCGATGACCTTTTTGTACGACGATGAAAATGATTTTCCCTTTCGGTACTTTTTTCCGAAAAGCCGTACGGATTTGTTTGATTTCCTTTTCTGCATACTGAAATTGGCCATCCGATACACCATCACGAAACACAGCCAATGTTTGTGGATAGAATTTATTTCGTTGATGATATGCATCCAACAATTCTGTAATCATTGGTTCCAAACACGTAATTTCTTCATCACAACGTTTAGTTTGTGAACAAATAGATGCCGTATACAATGTAAACAAATCATCATAGCTACCAACAACGGCTGCAATTGAACTTTCAATACGTTCCGTTTGGCCAGGATGATTAACATCAATACCACATACCATGGTTTTCGCATGATCGAATGGTAATTTTTTCCATTCTGATGCATCGATAATACTATTTTGGCCACCAATTTTTCCATTTACTTTCAACAGTACGTTGTCTAAATATCCACGTCCACGTTGTTTAGCTTTCATTGAATTCAAACATTGAGTAGCGAAACCATATTTTTGATCACCACAAAATTTTACCATGTTATACATGCCAGCACCTAGAATTTTTTTTTCGATAAAAAAAAATCAATTAGTTAAACATTAAAATTATTGGCGATATAAAATCGAAAAAACATTACATTGAGGCAATGCGACAAACAATAATTTCAAATCGGGAATTTCGGTTTTAATTTTGGCAAAAATTAAATCCACTTGTGCCAGATTGCCAGGATTGACTGGTGTAACAATCTTGTTTCGACAGTTGGATAAATCAAGCTTATATCGTTTAGCAGTTGTCACCAATTCACTAACAATGTTTTCAACGTCCGGTTTATTGAAATTGATATCCAAACTAACAAATGCCCATGGAGTTTTCGGTATGGAGCGAAAAAACGGTTCCATACGTTGTGCATTCATTTGACGTGGTGTGTCCAATACCCTTCCAGTGAAACGAATTGGTTTTGTGAAAAAATCCGTTTTAAATTCAGACATCAATTCTGGACTTAATGATGGAATTTGATTGGAAATTTTTGATAATTTATCGAAATAAATCAGTGGTTTATGTGTCGATACACGAAGCAATTCATTCGGTATGTTAGCATCGGCTTGAATTTTTGAATTGTTCAAAAATTGTTTATCGACCATACGGCAAAGTTCAAGTGGAATGAATTGTTCTTTGCCAACCGTAGAAACCAATGGATAATTTTGTACACGCACTTTGTATTTTTCAAGAAAATATTCCTGAATCGATACAATTTGACCTTCATCTTGATCTTTAGTTTTTTTAGTGAATTTATGTTCATTAGGCTTCTGAACAGTCAATCCTTTGATGGTGTAACATGTTTTACGACCAGTATGAGTAGTGTAAATTTTCAATCCACGAATAATTTTATTCGCTGCAACAATATCACCAGGACCAAATTGTGATGGATCACGGCCACCAGCAATCAATGTTACCAATTTTGATAATTCATCCACCGAAGGAGAGATCAAACATGATGTTTTCAAATGAATGTTCAACGATAATCCCATTTCGGTAAGACAAACACCATGGCTAAAACCACTAGCAAACTTAACCCATTCCATTGGGCCACGCATCAAACTACTTGAATCGGTATCGTAAAAGCCATGTTGATGCGAGAAAAAACGACAAGTGTAACAATATTGGAACAATAACTCCATGAAATGTCGCATAACTTCAGGCAAATCCGATGCGGTCATTTTGTAATATTCATCAATATGAGTCAGATCAATCTGTTGTACCATGTTTAAAGCGATTTGAAAATGTTTTTTGCGACTTTCAATTTGTACTTCGATTGTTTTGGGCAATACACTCGTATTCAATGGTTTAGAAGTGAACAAATTCTTGCTACGATCATAAACATAATGGAAATTGAAAAAGTTCGCATTAGCGGCAACAAATTCTTGAAAAATTGCATATGAATGTTTGGCAAAATATTTTTGCTTCTTATCATTGTCAGCATTGAAATATTGACGATCATTTTCGTCGGCAAAATCGATACTCAAATCATATTGATACACCAAAACTGATCCAACATTGATCTTGAAATGATTAGCCAATAATTCAACTTGTTTTCCGTGTTGTCCATGTGGTTCAACACTACGACGAACAATAGCATAATTTTGAGATTCAGGATATGATGTAACATTCGGCTGTTGATAACCACGATCACCACCCGAACCACCACCACGTCCGCCGCCACGTCCACCACCGCGATTAAATCCACCACCGCCGCCACGATTAAATCCACCACCACCACCGCCACGGTTAAATCCACCACCACCACCGCCACGATTAAATCCACCACCACGGCCACCCCCACGATCTGTTCAAATAGAATAAATAAAAATTAATTGAAAGAAAAAAGAAAAAAATCGAAAAAACACGTTCAAATCCATCTAGGCTAATACCTTGACCATCACCACCACGATCATAACCACGGCCTCTGCCGCCGCCACCACCACCACCACCACCACGATATCCTCCTCTACCACTCATTTTGGATTGAAAATTTTCAATTGAATCAGAATCGGGAAAAAAAAATCAAAATTTTTTGATTAATAATGATGACGAAAATCAAAATCAAAAACGAAAGCGAATTTCACAACAGAAAACTAAACGTCGCACAATAAACAACAGCTCAACAACAATAGACGGAAAAGGAATTTCAGTGTAAATTTTTTCAGTAGCATTTACTCTTCAAAACAACTGTAACATAATCGAAAAATGCTCAAACATTCGAATGAATAAAATTATTTTAAATAATTTTTAATCAATTAAAATTACTTCTAATCAATTTATTAGATTATGTCGCCATAATTAAATAATTAAATCAATATTTTAAATTTAATTTAAATTAAATTAAATAAAGCTCAAATTTAATAGCTTGTTACATAGTCTATGAACGGTCAACAAAGGCATATGTTTGGTTTTTCCAATATATTTCAATATATATTTTGTTTGGTTTCAATTGGATTTTTTTTCCAAATATTTCAAATCGATTTATTGCGCGAAAATGACCCATACTTTGTCCATATTTGATTCGAAATCCAATTATCATGTTTAATGAATAAAATAAGAATCCAGAATGCTAATATTTCGTATATTACGAAGCTCATTTCTATCATCATCATGGTGAGTTTAATGTCCATTTTTGAAATTTTTATCTTTCTCCAATGAATAAATAAATGAAAGAAAAAAAATCTAGCCACCACAAAATCATGAAAAAAAATCATTCGATTTTTTTTAAATACTCGTGTCATGGTTTATCAGTTTTTTTTCAAATGAAAACAAAACAAAACGTTTGATAAGACCATTTTTTTATGATCAGCATCATCATCGTTTTATCGTTTGATGAAAACCATGACGTGATCTCGCTGATTTTTTTTCTTGATCCAATGAATTTTTTGTGAAAAATAAAATTAAAAATCACAGAGAAAATTTCTGAAATTGAGACATTTATTCCAGATTTTCTAGGTTTTTTAACATGAAAAAATTTTTCAAAAAAAATCTGCTAGTTTACTTCATATGAATTAATGCAAAAAAACCAATTTTTTTTATTTCATCATGATAGTAACGATTATTTAAATTATCATCATCAACATAGCATCAATTGGTTGTCACAATCATCATCATCATCGTTTCATCGTAAATTGCCACCATTATTTATGTCCTTGAATCACCGAACAATCACGAGTTGTAGTTGCTGTTGCTGCTGTTGTTGTTTTTATGGTACGATTATTGGTAGTCTTTCTGAACATCATCATTATATACGAAGAACAAATATTTTCAGTTATTTCAATCATCATTCCATCATACAACAAGGCCTACAACAACAAAAACGAAAATTTAGTATTTCAATTTTGGATCGAAATTCTACCAGTGACAATCAAAACGGAAATTTAAAAATGGCTAAATTATTAAGTGGTAAAGAAGTGTCGGATGAAATCCGTGCACGTCTTCGTGAAGAAGTGAGCCATATATCTATTAAACCAATGTTGGCCATTATTCAAGTTGGTGGTCGTGAAGATTCAAATGTTTATATTCGTATGAAGAAAAATTATGCCGAATCAATTGGTGGTAATTCGATTCATTTGCAAATGCCCAGAGCCACGAATACGCAACAGGTTTGTTTGTTTGAATTTCATTAATGATTTTTATGATAATTTTTAATTTTTATTCTACAGTTAGCTGCTGAAGTTGAAAGATTGAACAACGATCCATCCGTACATGGCATCATCGTACAATTGCCATTCGATTCTGAAGAACCTATTGATGCACATTATATTACAAACCTGATTTCGCCGGAAAAAGATGTCGATGGTTTAACCGTCATTAATGCTGGAAATCTATTGCATGGTAAAATTACTGGAAAAGAAGGTTTCATTCCGTGCACACCGTTTGGTTGTTTGGAATTGATTAAAAAATCCGGTGTCAAAATGGAAGGTGCACAAGCAGTTGTTCTTGGTCGTTCAAAAATTGTCGGCTCACCAATGGCTCAGCTTTTGATCTGGAATAATGCTACCGTCACTGTTTGTCATTCGCGAACAAAAAATCTGCCGGAAATTTGTCGGAATGCCGAAATTTTGGTCGTTGCCATTGGAAAACCATTGTTTGTCAAACGTGAATGGATTAAACCAGGTAACATTGAATAAAAACATACTTTTGATTGTCGTCGATGATGATTTGTCATTCAATTTCATGATGATAAAAATGTACGGTCCAATCTTGTCGTTTCAAAATCTTATCAAATTATTTCATATGAAAAAAAAATTCCTGATTAAGATTTTGAATCGACAGGATCTAATCGTACAATGAAACATGGAAACAGGCAAATTTAAATTTTTTCTTCCACTTTTTTAATACAGGTGCCGTTGTTATTGATTGTGGTATATCATCAATACCTGATGCGACAAAAAAAAGTGGACAACGTCTTGTCGGTGATGTTGATTTCGATACGGCCAAAGAAGTTGCATCATATATAACACCAGGTAGATCTTAAATATTGCCAGTTATGTTGTTTTTTGTTTGCTAAATGTTTTTTTTTCCACACAGTTCCAGGTGGTGTTGGCCCAATGACTGTGGCCATGTTGATAAACAATACAGTAGAATCTGCAAAACGTGTAGCTGAAAAATTAGACAATGGACAACAGGAATAAAATATTGGAAAACGAACCCGTTACTGCGATACATTTTTGTTACTCAAAATTTTGATATAGAATAAATGTTGTTTTTTTTGTCATTCATTGAATTCAATATACAAGTTTTTTTAGAGAGATTTTGACGAATAGAAATTTGTCAGTCTAATTTTTTTTAATTCACGATCAATAAGTCCATCATCATCACCATCATCATTTGGTTGGTTTGGTTTATTGGGTTTGGTTGACGTGATAATCATAATCACCATAATCATCATCATCATCATCACTAGACAAATGTGTGAAATGAAAATAAAGAGCAACAACAACAACAACAACAACAGTAAGCAAGAAAGAAAGAAATAAAGTCAGCCTCAATATCTATCGATCGATCGATTGATTGATTGATTGATTTTGATCGTATGCACTTAAATAATTTTTTGATAAAAAAAAGCAATAAAATGGCGCTCAAATAGATCATCAACATCGACAACAACAAAATTATGAATGTCTAATAAAGAATGTTGATGATGATCATCGAATCAAAATGAATGATGATTGCAACATTGTATACGAGAGAAGAGAGAAAGAAATTTTTTTTTCTTTTTTTTTTGGATAAATAACCAACATTAACATCCATTGAATCTCAAACTATTTTATTTATATATCCGTTTTTTTTTCTTTGATGCAATCCAAAACGCAGAAAAATGTTATGTGTGCACTGCGTTCTTGTTGGTGTTTGAATCAGAAATTTTTTTTTTATTTCTATTAACCAAGGCTTAAATAATGCAAATTACAACATTTTTTTGGACAAACAACAACAGCCACAAAACCAATGGACAAGGAATGTTTGTTTTTCAATTTATTAAACGACCTAGATTGTGTAATGATTTTTAGTTTTTTTTTGTCAAATGAGAAATTTCAGAAAATCAAATGTGTCGCTGTGTGTGTGTGCGTCCTAATACAAACAAACAAACAGACAAAAAGACAAAAACAAAACAAAAAAATTCGAACAAACAATTTTAGCTTGATTTTCCAGATATTTATTTATTCATTTTTTTTTTTTTTTTTTTGATGCATCATTATATTCATTCATCGTATCAGCAATACATTGATATCATCATCATCATTCAAGTTTATTTATGGATCCAATGTTATCGTTTGTCATCAATGCGATTTTGAAATGATGATCGCAAAATACAAAAAACTAGTTTTATGGAAAAATCACGAGTTAGGATGGTTATTTTTTTTTCTTTGGTAAAGAACGAACAATTTTTTTTTTGCATTCAAATTTTTATACTTCTACGACATTTTTGTTTACAAATTAGAAAAATTTTTTCTTTTTTCGATTCTCTTTTTTTTCTCTCTCTCTCTCTCCATTCATGGTGATCTGTGTACCCCTTAGATATTATTATTATGTTATTATTCCAGTCAATAAAAAGCAAACATCGTCATTATTAATAAATTCATTACATCGGTCATCATCATCGACAAAGTTTCAAACATTATTATCATTGGTAAAAATGTGGAAATTGGAAAAAAGTTCATTAAATCGTGTTACACCGGTACCATCGTATGTACACATAAAATTGTGACAATAATAATAATCTGGAAATAATTGAAATTTTTCGAATGTTTTTTTTTTGTTCTTAGTGATATTGAAATAACTCGTGCACATAAATGTAAACCAATAAAACAATTATGTCATGAAATTGGTCTCCATGAACATGAATATGAACCATATGGACATTATAAAGCAAAAATTGATCGAACAATACCTGCACAATTTGATCAGACAAAAATGGGTAAATATGTCATCGTGGCTGGAATGACGCCTACACCGTTGGGTGAAGGTAAAAGCACCACGACAATCGGTTTGGCACAAGCTTTGTGTGGCCATTTAGATCATAATACTATTGCATGCATTAGGCAACCAAGTCAAGGACCAACATTCGGTATTAAAGGCGGTGCTGCTGGTGGCGGTTATTCCCAGGTGATTCCAATGGATGAATTTAATTTACATCTTACTGGTGATATTCATGCCATATCAGCAGCAAATAATCTGATTGCTGCTGCCATAGATGCTCGTTATTTTCATGAATCCACACAAAAAGATTCTGCTCTTTACGATCGATTGGTACCAAAACATCCGAATAAGCCACGGAAATTCTCAAAAATACAATTAAGACGTCTGGAAAAATTGGGCATTCCAACGGAAATTGATCCAGATCAATTGACTGAAAAACAAAAGTTGGACTTTTCTCGATTAGATATCGATATCGATACAATTAATTGGAATCGTGTTGTTGATTGTAATGATCGATATCTCCGGTCGATAACCATTGGTCAGGCACCAACAGAAAAAGGATTATCAAGGAAAACTCAATTCGATATATCGGTTGCAAGTGAATTAATGGCCATTTTAGCTTTAGGTAATGATATGGCCGATATTAAACGAAGAATAGGTCGAATTGTTGTTGCATTTTCCAAACATCAACCACCGAAACCGATAACATGTGATGATTTAGGCGTCACTGGTGCAGTTATGGTTTTGCTTAAAGATGCTATCAAGCCAACAGTTGTACAAACATTGGAAGGAACTCCAGTGTTTGTTCATTGTGGTCCATTCGCCAATATTGCTCATGGTAATTCATCGGTTGTTGCCGATAAAATTGCATTGGAAATGGTCGGTCCTGATGGTTTTGTTCTCACTGAAAGTGGTTTCGGTGCAGATGTTGGTCTTGAAAAATTAGTTGACATTAAATCACGTGCTTCTGGTTTACGGCCAGATTTGGTAGTATTGGTATGTACAATAAGAGCATTGAAAAGTCATGGTGGTGGACCATTAGTTACACCGGGTGCTATTCTGCCAAAAGAATATCGTGAAGAAAATCTTGATCTTGTTGGTAAAGGTTTGATTAATCTTAAAATTCATATCGAAAACATTCGAGAACATTTTGGCTTACCTGTTGTTGTTGCAATCAATCGATTTTCTACGGACAGTGATCTTGAACTTGATTTAGTTAGACAAAAAACTATTGAATATGGTGCCTATGATGCTTGCATTGCTAATCATTGGGAACAAGGTGGTGAAGGTGCCATAGATTTAGCTCGATCCGTAATTGATGCTTGTTTTTCTAATAAAAATGTGGAAAATCATTTTAAATTTGTTTACAATGACGAAGATGCGATTGAAATGAAAATTGAAAAAATTGCCACAAAAATTTATCGAGCCAATGGTGTGGAATATAGTGAACAAGCTCAAAAACGTTTAGAACTTTATAAAAGACTTGGTTATGATCGATTGAATATTTGTATCGCTAAAACTCCACTGTCTATTTCACATGATCCATCATTGAAAGGAGCACCAAGTGGATTTAAATTTCCGATTAAAGATATTCGTGCTTCGGTTGGTGCCGGATTTCTTTATCCACTTGCTGGAGAGGTATATAATATAATCAATTATATTTCTCATTATTATTCATTATTAATTGTTTTTTTTTGCATAATTCGCAGATTCAAACAATGCCCGGACTTCCTACGAGACCAGCATTCTATGATATCGATATCGACACAGAAACTGGTGTTATTGAAGGATTATTCTAAATCTTTGCGTTTTGCGAAACTAAAAAAAAAAAATCTTAATAAATTTTTTTTTGTTATTTTCAATAATAAAATCTTGTTATATTAGTGTAAATTGAATTCAAAATTGCGGTTAATTTTTTTTCATATATTCAGTCTATACGGCTATTACGGTAGACTTGATTTTCATTTCATAAAATACGTAATCAATATATGAATTTGTGTTGAAACATGATTTTTGATATTTATTCGTGGTACTAGGGTAATTAAGTCAGTTCAAAAATGACGTACGTACCTTTTGTTTGACTGTTGTTGTTGTTGTTAAATGATTCCGAGTGTGTGTGTGTGTGTGTATTTGCGGTGTGTTTTTTTTCTGTATGTATGACTTGTGTGTATTTGTATTTGTCTTTTTATTTTGTAAATCGCATAATGTGTATGTGTGTATTTTATGTGATTTCAATTGATTTCGATTGAATCATCATCGAATATCAAACAATAAAAAAAACAACAACAACAACAATAACGAGAAATGAAAATTCGAAAAAAACGATATAAACAATTCAACCCAATATCATTTTCTTCTATTACCAACAACTAGATTTGTTCATTCTCTGTCATTCAGTCAGTCAGTCATCATTATCATCAGTTATCCTGGAAATAATTCATTCTCATAATATAATTTTCCCCACCCAAACTGTTTGTAGATTTAGAAAAAGAAAAAAAAGATTCGCCTGATTTCATTATTCATCACAATCATTATCATCAATAACAACAAAAAAAATCAGGATGCCTTCAGCTTATGGCCACACAAATGGACACCATATGGTCAATACGAATTCAATGGCTTTGACAAATGGACAAACACCTACATCAGCGATTGCTGCATCAACTTCATCACCAGCACATCGACATGCAGCCGGTATAGGATCAATGAATGCTGGTAATCATGGTGGTGGCAGTGTTGGTCATCCATCAAATCAAACCCAAACACATGGTCCACCGCAAACACCACAAACCAATGAAGAGGTCGGAATCAGAGAAGTTTGGGCACATAATCTTGAAGAAGAATTTATTCGAATTTGTAAGATTGTACAACATTATCCATTCGTTGCGATGGATACAGAATTTCCAGGAGTAGTGGCCAAACCGATTGGTCAATTTACATCCAATTCTGAATACATGTATCAGATAATGCGTTCGAATATTACATTGTTGAAGATCATACAAATTGGCTTGACATTTATGAATGCTGATGGTAAAAAACCTGATGGCCATTGTACTTGGCAATTCAATTTCCGTTTCAATTTGAATGAAGATATGTATGCACATGAATCGATAGAATTGCTCACAAATTCTGGCATACAATTCAATAAACATGATCAAGATGGTATTGATCCAACTGAATTTGCTGTATTGATGTTTGGTTCTGGTTTGATTTTAACTGATCAAATTTCCTGGCTATCGTTTCATTCGGGATATGATTTTGGTTATTTGCTCAAAATGTTAACCGATAAACAGTTGCCGAAAAAAGAATCAGAATTTTTTGATTTATTGAAAACATATTTTCCACGAATTTATGATTTAAAATATTTGATGAAAAGTACCAAAGATTTGAAAGGTGGTTTACAAGAGGTTAGTGTTAAAGTCTGTTTTTGTTTTATTAATCTAAATTTTTTTTTTGCAAACACGAATAGGTTGCTGAAGCATTAACTTTGGTTCGTAAAGGTCCACAACATCAAGCCGGTAGTGATAGTCTATTAACGGGCGAAACATTTTTCAAATTGAAAGAAATGTATTTCGAAAATGATATCGAAGAAAAACGTTATTCCGGATTTCTTTATGGTCTTGAAACGGCTGAAACGGGAAAAATTGAAACAGATGATGATTTAACAGCTTCAAATCCTACTGCTACTAATAATACTGGCAATCGCAATACGCCCATTACTAGTACTACTACCATTTCATCATCATTATCTGTAACAAATTCAACAACAACAAATGGTGGATCGATCATCGTATCATCGAGTGGTAACAATAACACATCAAATGGTAGCAATAATAGTGGATCGAATAATGATTCAGCTGTTGTTAGTGGTGGTAAAATAGAAGATGTGAATATATCCGATGCTAATAATTCTGAAAATTCAATCATCACATCTTCATCAACATCAAATTCGACGACTATAAATCCACAACAAACGCCCACAAGCATTTCTAGCTGAATCATTTTCATTTTTTCTTCCTTTGTGTTGTGTTTCGTTTTTTCATTTTCTGCCTAACTGTCAATCAATCATTATTCTCATTATTTTCATAAATTCATCACCGTCACCGAAAAAAAAACCAATACAGAATTATTTTGAAGTAAAAGAAATAAAAAAAAAATTCTTCTTGTGCGTCTCTACCCCGGTAGAATATTTTTTTATCCCAATCCATATTACATCATTATTTGGTTCTTTAATTTCAAAATCATTACCATATTTTTTTCAATGTAGATTACCGAAAAAAAAGGAATTTTCTTCCGAAAAAAGATGTTTATTTATACAACACGAACAAACACACACACACACACATACACTGCTAAAAAACAGCTGAAAAAACTTTCTCATTGATATTCTTAAGATGAATTCATTTGTTTTTTTTATATATGTAACAATGTGAGCAAAAAGAAGAAGAAAAAAAATTGAATAAATCAAAGAATTCGAATTATAAAATCGAATCATTCGACAATTGTTTCATTCATATATAAAATGTCACAAATATTTAAATTTTTTGTTTCGTGATTCAAAAAAAAAAATAAATTAAATTATTCAATGTCTGATCGTCGAAATCATCGTCGAAATGAAAGAAGCGGTGGTGGTGGTGGTGGTGGTAAAAAATCGTCGAAAAAAAATCGAAATAAACGTAAACCTAATGATAAGAGTAAAAAACAAGCCAAAGATCAATATGATTATTATGATGATTCGTCGGCAACCGGTGAAAATGAAGCGGATAATTATTATTATGATAATAATGATGATGATGAAAATCATTTATTGTTGCCAACAATTAAAATTGCACCTGAGGATTATGAACATATATTTTCGAGGAAAAAGAACAACAAAACAACAGCAGCAGCAACAACAGGCGGTTAATTCATCATTGCCTACGGCATTGATTGCACCATCTGATTATGATCATATTTATTGTAGAACTAATCGAAAGAAACAACAACAACAACAACAGCATAATCCTCAATCTAAACAATTATCATCACCACCAGAGCAACCAGCATCACCAGATACACCACAATTATCGGATAAATCACCAACAATTCTAATAGCACCTACAGATTATGAACATATTTTTAATGCTGGTAAAACATATAAATCTGAAACACCAAAACGTCATCATTACAAACAACAACAACAACAACAAACGATTAAACCGATTGGAAAGATGATGAATAGATATCATAAACACTCACCATTACCATTTAAAATGAAGAAAAAATGGCCAAAGACATTCAAAAAATTTGGTAAAAAAACAAAATTTTCATTGAAAAGATCACCACTAACAAAACGACGACCAAAACAGAGAGAAGAATCATCATACGAAGACGACGACGACGACGATGATGATGATGATGATGACGATGAAGAAGAAAAAGGTGCCACCGCCGCCGCCGACGACGACGACGATGACGACGATGATGATGACATCGATACTGATGATGTCGATGACAGCAAGAAACAATCAAATAGATATTCAAGAAGAAATCGAAGATTTTAAATTGTGTGATGATGGTGTTATGAAATTTTTTAGATGAATAAATCAAAATCGTTTATTTATTTATTTCATCATTAGTAGTAAATAACATATTATATGTCTTGTCGAAAATATTTAAAATAAATTAAAAATGTTACAATCAGCCATTTAATTGTCTCAGAATTCTAAAAAAAATCATATTCCGAAATCAAATCATAATCACATGCACTCAGAATTTTTTTTTTGTTATGAAGATTCATATGAATGTAATGGGGATTGATGTAGAATACCTTCATTGTTTAAAACTTGAGTGGCAATATTTCTGATTGATTCATCATTTTTCAATATCACTGGTGATCGTAATGCTGTTAGATTTTGATTAACACGCATATTGGCCTAGAAAAAAAGTTTCAAATTAAATATATTAGTATATAAAGTTAATCACAACAAAAAAAAACAAATTCACATACCTCTGCGATGAATAATTTGCATAACTGTGATTCATATTCAGCTGATGAAACATTTTTATTCAATGATAATGTTACACGTGATAGTAACACTAACATTGTATAGATATCGATAACAGAATTGGCCAATCGTAATAATAACATTTGTTCCATAACAATTTGTTTGTTATATTTGATAAGTAAATGTTCAACAGCTGAAGTGAAAAGCATAATATTTTTCGACAATATTTGTGCTTCCGCTTGTAATGATGGATGAATATTTTCGGTTATATTTGGTGCATCCATACCAGCAGTACGTTTTAGTCGTTTTGATGCTTCCATAAAAATCAGACCTAAATTGGCCATTGGATTTTTCATTGCTTTTTGGATTTCACGTAAATGGCCACCGGCATATTGAAGACCAGTTAATGCAATAAATAATCGTAGAATTTCATTGGCACCTTCAAATATTCGGAATATTCGAGTATCACGAAGCATTTTTTCGATTCCAGTATCTTTAATATAACCCATACCGCCAAAAATCTGCAATGCTTCATCACAAACCCACCATGCTGAATCAGAAGCAACAATTTTACCAACAGCAGCTTCCAATTGAAAATCAGTCATTCCTTTGTCAATGACGCCACTAGAATTGGAAAGAAAAAAAAATCCATTAATAAACAAGCAAACAAATTTTTGGATAAAAAAATACCTGATCATGTAAGCGTGTGATTGTGTTACAAAATGTGCCAAAGTCATTCGACCAATTTTCTCCTGAATAGCCGTAAAACTTGCTAATTTATTACCAAATTGTGTACGAGTATTAGCGTATGTGCTTGCCATTTCGATTGCTTTTTGCATAGTACCGGATAATGCACAAATCATACCATAACGTCCATTATTTAAAATTTTCATTGCAACTTTAAATCCTTCACCAACTTCTCCAATAACATTTTCTTTTGGAATTTTAACATTGTCGAACCAAATCTCCGTTGTATTTGAAAATTTGATACCCATTTTTTTCATATTTGGTCCACTAGTCAGACCTGGACCTCTTGGTACCCAAAATGCGGTCACTTTATCTTTGACTTCGCCTTTTTCATTCTTGATTTGGGTCTTGGCAAATACGGTGAAAAAATCAGCAAATCCACCATTACTAATGTAAAGTTTTGATCCATTGAGGATATAATGTTGACCATCTTCACTTAAAACGGCACGACTTTTGATTGAAACAGCATCCGAACCAGCTGACGGTTCAGTCAATGCAAATGCAGCAAATTTATTACCAGCAGCCAGATCAGGAAGATATTTTTCTTTTGTTCAGGTGATCCAAACAGCACGATACCTTTATAGCCGATACTTTGATGGGCACCCTGTACGATACCGATGCCTAAATCATATCTGCCAGCCATTTCACCCATTCGAGCATATTGTGTATTATTACATCCCATACCGCCATATTCAACTGGAACTTGAATACCGAATACACCCATAGTTCTCATCATTTCCATAACATCCTCTGGCACCGTTTCGGTGTCTTCTTGTTTAACGATTTCATCCCATTTATCTTCCCACATTTTGGATACCGGATCAATAACCATATCGAGAAATCCAATTTCTTCATCATTCAATACTTGTGGATAAGGTAGGAAAAATTCAGTATTGGCACGACCAGCAAATAGATTCTGTACGAATGAATTGGATTCAGGAACTTTAATTTTATCCAATTTATCCAGATCAACTTTGGCTTCCAATTTTTCCGTTGTTTTTGGTTGTGCACGCGATGATGATGTTGATATTCTGACGACCAAATTTCGAATCAATTGAATATTATCCGAACGTGGTGAATATAACTTTGCAGCAATAGATCGAAACATTTTTATTCAGTTCAGCACGATGGTTCAATAAAAAAATAGTCGATAATTGGAGTTCTGTGGTTTTTTCTTTGTTCTCTGAATTGGAAAACACTTAAATCACACAATTCACTTTTTAATTGGATTTTAAGAAAAAAGAACAGATTCAACGTATACAAGGACTTTAATCTTAGTCGGGTACATATGAAACAACAAGTTATGTTGATTAAATAAAAACCAAACAAATAAACAAGCCGATCAATTATTATATACCACTACCACAAACTTGAGTATCGTGTTAACACGGTTTAAATATATGTTCAGATTTGAAATTTCGCAATGTTTGTGAATGGATCCTTGATGTGGTCTAGCAAAATAAAATTAACAATTAATTACCGTGTATCCACGGTAAGGATTGTTCAAATATTGGTTAAGTGGTTCATTGTTTTGTTTTCGGGTTCACATGCTGATCTCATTTGATTTGTTATCGATAAATCTGGTTTTTGAATGTTTTTCTAAATCAGATAATTTTTTCAATCATCCATTAATCAATCAACCAAATCCATCGATAAAAAACGACTACTTTGATATCGATTAATTGAAACATGACTGATCGTTATAATATTCATTCACAATTAGAACATTTACAATCCAAATATATTGGCACTGGACATGCTGATACAAGCAAATTTGAATGGATGGTCAATCAACATCGTGATACTTATGCATCATATTTAGGACATCCAGATATGTTGTCATTTTTTTCTATAGCCGAAAATGAATCAATTGGCCGTATTAAATTCAATATGATGGAAAAAATGTTACAACCATGTGGTATTAATCCAGAAAAACCAGACGATTGATTGATTCACTCACTACAAAATAATAAATTGATTATCATTTTAAAAAATTCATTTTCTTGTAAACTGCAATTTTCATTTTCATTAAATGTTAATTCAAAATTTCTCTTTTAAAATTAATAAATAATAATACATTATCATTCATAATTATTGATTATTAGCAGTGTGCCATGAGCAGGTAAGCGTTTGACGTATTTTCTTTTTGTATAAAATAAAAACAAAAGGTAAGATGTTTATAATCAAAACAAAAAAAAAAAATTTCAATGACATTTCTTATGAATCAAAATTCAATTCAAATCAATGTTGTGGTAGTTCAGTCTTTTTGTTGTTGTTGTTGTTGTCATCGATTGATAAAATGAATGAATGCTGATGATGAATGATGATGATCAAGGTTTTGTATAAAAAAATTTTCTTCTGGTTTTTCTTCCTGAATTACAATTCAAATATAGCAATGCAATAGGATTAAATGGATGGCATTTTCATTTTTCGAATGATATCGATAGGATATAGTAATGAGAAAAGAAATCATGTTTGTCATTAACAATAAATTTCGTTCCATTGTTCTGATGGTTATACTATTGTCATCATTGTTTGATGCTGCACGTACTGGAACAAAATCTTCACAACAACAAAAACGTGCTCCACAATCCGATGGGCAACGAATTTCACAGATTCGTATGAATGGTACCACCACGGATTCTGATTATGATTTTACCGGTAAAGTTGTACTTATAACTGGTTCATCCGGTGGTCTTGGCGCTCATATAGCACGTGAATTTTGTAAACGTGGATCAAATGTCGTAATAAATGGACGTCGACAATCAAGTTTACAGTCAATGTTACAGGAATGTCAAATGTTATCACCAAATCAAGCGGAAATGTTAGCCTATATAGCTGATGTTACCGTAAAAGAACAACTTAAATCAATGGTAGATGCAACAATTGATAAATTTGGTAAAATTGACATACTCGTCAATAATGCTGGTGGTGGAGCATTTGGTTCGATTTTTGATGAAGATTTGGACGATAAAGTACATCGAATGATGGATTTGAATTTACATTCTGTAGTGAGATTGACACAATATGCTGCACCACATTTAGAACGAACCAAAGGTAACATTGTTACTATATCGTCGATTTTGGGCCAACAACCGGTAATCGAAAATGATGAAAATGAAAAACTAGAAAATGATTTTTTTTCTTCCGTTTAGAATCAACATTTTATGCCATATTGTGTGGCCAAAGCAGCTGTTGATATGTTCTGCAAATCCATTGCTATCGAATTAGGACCTAAAGGTGTACGAGTTAATTATGTTAGGTAAAGAATTCAAGTTTCATTTATACTGTAACTGTGTGTGATTGACCAATTTCATTCGGTAAAATATAGCCCAACAGCGATGCGAACAAATTTCCAACAAGCAAGCGGTGCTGGTGAAGTCCTGAAAGGTGTATTATCACATTTGGAACAGACAATTCCAATGCGACGAATTGGCCAAATTGAAGATGTTGGTAACGCTGTCCTGTTTTTAGCATCGGATAAAAGTTCATTCATTACCGGTGCAAATATTGTTATCGATGGTGGTAATAGTTTAATTTAATGTGTTTCAATTCAAATGAAAACATTTGTCGAATGAAAATAAATAAATAAAAATAAAACTGAAAACAAAAATTTTGTCTACGCGGTAAAAAAAAATTCGAAAAATTAAAACAAAAAACAAAATCATTTTAGACACGTCAGTTATGAACGTGAATCATATGTACCTCACATAAATATTGATGATGATGATGATTATAATAAAATTGTGTGTAAAAAAAGTGCATTGGGTACAATTGTTCTGGCTGCTAAAATCGACTTTGTTTTGATTGATTTCTTCATTTTTATTTCAAAATTCTAACAACTAACCAACTGACTAACTAACTAAGAAAAGAAAAACGACACAAAAAAAATGTTTTCATTAAAACGAATCAATAAATCTACAACATGGCAATTGTCTCAACAATTGTTAAATCGAACCGCAGCTACGGCTACGGCTACAGCACCGGCTAAAACTGGATCTTCTGGATATAAATTTGATAATTCAAAATATGGTAAAAATATCGTATTGATTGAAGGTGTTCGTACACCATTCACACAGAGTCAAACCGATTATGATAATTTAATGTCCTATGAACTACAACGATATGCGCTATCGTAAGTATTGGAAATTTTAATTCCTCATGAAAAACTTATTTCATTTGACCAAAACAAAAAAAAAAAACAGATCGTTGATGAGTCGTGTTGATATCCCAAAAGATAAAATCGATTATGTTGTATGTGGCACGGTCATCCAGGAAGCGAAAACACCAAATATTGCACGTGAAGCATTATTGGCTGCCGGCATGCCTGAAAATATTCCAGGAAATACTGTATCACAAGCTTGTGTATCGGCAAATCAGGCAATCACCTCAGGTATTGGTTACATTAATTCCGGTACATATAATGTTGTTATTGCCGGTGGTGTGGAAACCATGTCCGATGTACCGATTCGTCATTCTCGTTCAATGCGTAAAATGTTATTGAATTTGAATAAAGCAAAAACCACACAACAACGCTTGAAGATTTTGTCTGGTTTTAAATTAAATTATTTAGCTCCTGAAGTAAGTATTTATAGTAATTAGTTTGGGCTCTATTCTAATCTATTTGTAACCCATGAAACAAGTTACCAGCTGTAGCTGAATTTTTCTCTGGTGAAGTAATGGGTCATTCCAGTGATCGTTTGGCTGCTGCATTCAAAGTTTCACGACAAGAACAAGATGAATTTGCTTTACGATCACATTCATCGGCTGACAAAGCCTACAAAGAAGGTCTGTTGAGCGATATTGAACCAATCGTTGTACCACAAAAAGGTCTTGTACGAAAAGACAATGGTGTTCGTGTCTCGTCGTTGGAAAAGATGGCAAAATTAAAACCAGCATTCGTCAAACCATATGGAACAGTGACAGCTGCCAATTCAAGTTATCTTACCGATGGAGCTACCGCTTGTCTATTGATGACCGAAGAAAAAGCTAAAGAATTGGGACTGAAACCAAAAGCATATCTTCGTCAACATCTATACTGTTCTGTCGATCCAAAAGATCAACTTCTTTTAGCTCCAGCCTATGTCATTACACGATTATTGGATCGAGTTGGTTTAACTGCAAAAGATATCGATGTTTGGGAATTACATGAAGCTTTTGCCGGACAAGTTTTGGCCAATATGAAAGCATTGGATTCAGAATTTTTTGCCAAAAATTATATTGGTCGTAGTTCACCGATGGGAGCACCGGATATAAACAAATTGAACAATTGGGGTGGTTCTCTTTCAATTGGTCATCCATTTGGTGCAACCGGTGTTCGTTTGGTTACGACAGCCGCTAATCGTTTACATAAAGAAGGTGGACGTTTAGCTTTTGTCGCTGCATGTGCTGCCGGTGGTATCGTAAGTATTCATTATTTGTATATTTTTCTTTTCGATCCATTTATCGGCGTCCATCGATTTTTGGAACAAATGAACGAAATACAAAATTCAACATTTTTCGTTTCGTTTTTTTTTTGATGACGCCCAAATCAATTTGAATTACGAATTCAAATTACAGAGATATGCAAGGACAGACATTGATTCACAAAGTTTCTTTTTTTTCCATTTTATGAATATGTTTCTGTAGTATGTATCTCTAACAATTTTCATTATCATTTTTTTTCACTTACAGGGCCATGGAATGATTGTGGAACGTTATCCATGATAGATCCAAAAAAAATTGGAACCCATACGATGGCGCCATCTATTGTCTGTAAAAAAATACAATTTTATGAAATTTTTTTTTTAAATTTAAATCTCTACTGATGATGATGATGATGATGAAATGAAAAAAAAAAATGTGAACGGTAGAAACACGAGAAAAAAAAATTTTTAATTTATCAATAAACAAAACGTAATATATTTAAAAACTTTTTAAAAATTGAATTTTGAAAAAAAAAAGATTTGCTTGTGACATTTGCAAACAAAACAAAACAAAAAATTGACAACCGAATGGACCAAAAAAAAAAAAAAAAAAAAAAAAATTATTAATCAGATATCCATGTGTGTGTGTGTGTGAATAAATGATAATAATCGATAAATCTGTTGTTGACATATTTTTTATGGACAACCAAAATGAACAACAATTTTTCGATGGCCGTGGTGATGATGAATGTGTGTGTGTGTGTACATCGATCGATTTCTTTTTTTTTGGTCCTGTAATAATGTGCGAGAATAAAAAAAAATTTTTACCATGGAAACATCCAACAAAATGGACATCATTCATTCATTCATCTAAACATTCTTATACGGTCATTTGTTTTGGTTCTCGTTTTTGTTTTGTTTTCTATATTCAATGATCATGATCAAATCGAAATGAATAAATTCTTGATGGTCAAAATTCTTTCTTTTTTTTTTTTTTTTTTTAGTCATAATCATTGACATGTATGACATGAAGATTTTTCAATTCTTAATTTTTTATTTTCTGTGGCTGTTGTAACAGCATGATGCATATATTCTATTCTATTTTGTTTGTTTTGGTGCTGCATCCGTTAAAAAAAATGACGAAAAAAAAACCAGGAAAAAGTCATTTCAAAAGTAATTTTCGCATTCATTCATTCATTCATTGCAACATTCTACAAATTCAATGTTCAACACACAAAAACAGAACTTTAAATTCCAAATTTTTTATTTTCATTTCTCTTTCGTCTCTTCAGTATGGCAACAAAACAAAAAAAAAAAAAATAACTTTGCATATACGCAGTGAATATTTAAAATTGTTTACTGTCAAACATAAACTATTTCGACATCATATTGGAAACAAAAACGTCACAAACGCTTATGATGGTCACATTTTTTTTTTATTATTATTATTCTTGAGTAAAAAAAAGCGAAAAAGAATATTCTCAACCTCGAATAAATTGCATCACTATATGGTGCCATTATTATCTTCATTTTTTGTTCTCCGGTACAATTTTTTTTTTTTTGGTTTATTAATTGCCGTTTTTTCCTGTCCAGATTCTTGTTATTATTCAGAAATAATAATAATAAAAAAATCACACAGGGGAAAAAATTCTGAATATTTGATCGAACATTAATCGAAATTTTGTCATTTTTTATTCATTCTATAGAATGGCCAAAACAACAAATTATTGTCGATACTAATGTATTCTATAGACATCCAATAATCAATGAATGAATGAATGAATAATAATTCACATGTATTTGCCATTCACATATGAAGAAAAACACATTTCGAATTGAATTGATCAGTGAATGAATGAATTAACGTTATTTGAATTTTTGAAAACATGAATGGACCGGATATTATTATTATTATTGTTGTTGAAACAGAATCAGAATCGGAATCGGAATTCTTTTCATTCATTCATTCATTTTATTCAAAAAAAAAATGATGTTGATTTTCAAAACAAGAAAATCTTAATTAAACAAAATAACAACAACAACAACGACGACGACGACGACAACATTTGTGTGTTGTTTTTGTTTTTGAAACAATGAAATTTGAACAATGAATTCAAATTAGCTAGTTATACAGGTTTTTTTTTCTTTCTTAGAAAAAAAAATCAAAAAGAAAAACGTAGTCAATTTACAAATTCTGTGAATAATATACACACACACGGACAACAACAAAACAACTATAATTTAAGAATAATTAATAGTAGTGTGTGGGTGGTGATGATATACCTTGTAATGTATAGTGAGAAACGACATTTGAAAAAAAATGAACAAAAAAAAAAATTGTCATTGCAAAAAAAAAGACAAAAATTGTCGCTCTTTTTCATTGTCAAAAGCTAAAAGCAGCAAAGAAAGGGTTGCTCATTTTCATTTTCATTTTCATTATTTCAATGTTTTCATAATGACATGATTTTTTTCTTCTCCTTCTTTGATTTTTATCATCATCATCATCATCATTACCATTGTGTGTCTCATTGTCACGATGATTTCGGGCTTCAAATTTTTGTTTTCTTATTCTCGAAAATTAATTCAATTAGTGTGTGTGTGTATGTGTATTGTGTGTTTGTTCAATTTTGTTTCTTTTCCTTTCGAATAAGAAAAAAAAATGAATGGCTGTTGAAAAAGTTGTTTTCAAAGTTTTTCTTCTTTTGTTGTCGTTGTTGTTGTTGTTGTTGTTGTTGTTTCGACACACACTAATCGCTTTTGGAGATTCTTCTTTCTTTTTCAATTCCAAAAACAACAACAACTGTAACTGTAAATGTTGACATTGTTTTTGTGTTCTGTTTTTATATTCGAATAAAAAGTTGGTGATTTTTTTTTCAATATATATCTCGAATATTTGGTGTTGAATTTATCACTTACATGACAATGAAAATCGTGATCACAACAAATAATAAAGACAGAAATGAAAGAAATGAATAAGCCAATTAGTTTTGGATTTGGGAATAAATGGATTTAGATCATCATCATCATCATCATCATCATGGCATAACATGATGAATATAGGATAACAAGAATTGATTCTTTGAAATTCTATTCTACACACAATGATGCATTTTGACGTTTTATTCTGCTATTTGTCGCCGCTTAATTCTCATCTATCTAGTGGCAGTGGTGGTGGCGGTGGTGGAATTCCGATCTATATAAATTCAAAAAGATAACATTTCTTATTACCACTACTACAAATCAAGAACCATAAGTATAGAATCTGAAAAAAAAGCTCGCTGAAATCGAATGAACAAAAAAAAAAATGATAAATTCGGACTTTGCTTCATTCCACATTCCATGTTCTGTTATTCAATCGAATTCATTTCAAGTTTCAACAGTGTCAGTGTCAGTGTGTTTCAGCATTCCGGTCTTTTTTTTTTTAAAAAATTCTGGATTGACAAAATAAAAGATAAAAAATTTTTTTTTTATATATTCAAAAAATTTTTTCTTGGACTTTTTTGCCAGTGTTTTCATACTTGTGTGTTCAGTGTGTTGTTCACAATCAAGCATTCTTGATTCTTGATTCGATTGTAAATAATACAACAGAATATTTTTTTTTCTCCTCTCTCCACATTTCGTCAAGATTTTCGCGCCATTTTTTTCCATTTTATTAATCTTTTTTTTCATCTTCTTCTTCTTCTTCAGTGCAAAAAAATTCTTCATTTTTTTCTGGTAAGTTAAATGTTGTGAATTTTTTTTTTTTTTTTTTTTGAATGTGTGTGTGACAGATTTTGTAATTTTGATTTGCAAATTTCATTTTTTACGAATTTTTTTTTCGATGTTTACAACACACACACACACACACACACACACACACACACACACACGTCTATGCAGAAGAGATTCGTGTGTATTCGTGTGTGTGTGTTTTTTTCCTGTATTTTATTTGATTTGAATCAATTGCTGTGATCTAGAAATTCTTTATATTTTCATTTTCGAATATTTGTTTGATTTTATTTTTGCTACTGCTGAATTTTATACATCTCAAATCATATAAACAAACAAACAAACAGACAGAATCAATCATACACACACACACACGCATTCATCTTGGCCAGTAGAGAATCATCATCATATTGATCAGAAAATGAATGAATTGGAAATGTGTAAACAAGAAGAAGATGAAAAACAAGGTGACTAGGGTAATGAAATTTCTACATTTCTCTCTCTCTCTCTACGTTTCTCTTTTGAATGTAAATAAATGAATCGTAAACAGTTTGAGACTGATTCATTTTTCGTTTTGTCAATCATTTTAAATTAACAAATTTTTTTTTTTTTGACTGACATTAATTATGTCAATTCTGTATTCTGTAATTTTGAAAATTCTTTACAATTCTGGTTATTATTATTTTTTTTTAATTCAAAAAATTTCCAATACATGTGGAATTTTTTTTTTTTTTGCTAATTTTCCTAATGGATTCCTGTTATATTGTGTCATATAGCGTGTGTAAGGAATATTCCATTTACATTCATTCATAGAATCATAGAATTTGTTTCAGATTACTGTTTGTTTGTTTGTTTGTTTCAAGTCGGTTTGTTATCGTCATTTTTATCCATCAATGAAAGTGATCTATCCATCCATACATCTCTATTTATTTATTTCGAACCAAAAACAAAACAACAACAAACCAATGGATATTAATGCTGATTGTCGCTAAAATCGATGAAATGATGGGGCGGAAATGGAAGCCGTTTTTTGCTTCTCCTCCATAATCATGTTTGTTATTGTTGTTTTCACTGTGTGTGGATGTGTGTGTGTGTGTTTTATTTTTGATAAAACAGAAATCCATTAAAATCATTGAACCAAAAAGTAGAAAAAAAAATTTTTTCAGGATTTTTTCTTGTTTTTTTTGTCAAAATAAAACGTTATTTATCTATGATTTAATGGTGAAAGCTTGGATTTTTTATTTTTATTTTCATTTTCATTTTGTCATTTTGTTGTTTTCAATAAGAATTTTGTCTCTCTGCGCCCATACAACGCCCATTCAATATATTTATTTGTTTTGTTTTGTTTTTTTTTGGTAGTTCGATCAATCGATTGATCGATTATCAAACATCATAATCATTATTATCATCATCATCATTGATTTCAATGTTTTCAATTGAAAAAAAAATTTATTTGTCAATTCAATGAGGCTGATTGATTTTAATTTTAGTGATGACAGTCTTTATTTGAAAACTTTCATATCTGTGAATTTCGAGTGATTTTTCCATTTTGTCTATTCAGGTGTGTGTGTGTGTGTTGTCATTTGGATTTTTTCTCGTTGCTGCAAGATTCAGATTCATTTACTAAATAAATACACAATGATGGAATGGGATTTGGGATGTATTTTTTTTTCCTCATTGAATTGATGATGGAAATCTGAAATAGAATATCCAGAATGATGAGAATATCTTTTCTTTTCTCACATTGTCCATTGTATATTAAATTGATGTCGTTCAATTGTTTGTTTGTTTGTTTGTTTAGAATAGAATGGAAAAAAAGGATGATTATTTATTGCCTCCTGATGTCATTTTCCTTGGAGAATTGATCAAAAGGTGTTTCTTCTGTCTATTTGAGTCTCTCTGTCGAGTGAATCATGACGACGACGAGAATTTATTTTCCTCGTATTCTGTTTTTTCAAGAAGAAGATGATGATGATTTTTTTCCTGGATATGACGCAAGTTTCGTTTGTTGACTTTTCATTCTTTCTCTCTCTCTCCCTTCAGGTCATTGTTTTGTTTTTGATTCTATTTAAAACTTTTCATTTCAAACAACAAAACATCCGAATGAAATTCTTTCACATCTGATTTGGAATTCTTTTTTATTCTGTGAATGTTAACTGATTATTTTTTTTATTCTGCTAGAAAATTAGAGTTGCAAATTCAGACCAGTTTCTAATCACAAGCTGTTCACATATTTATGTTTTATTTTTTTTTTTTTTTGCTGGTGAAATTGAATGAATGAACGAGAAAGAGAGAGAGAGAGAGAGAGAGAAAATATGAAAATAAGAAACTAAAAAGCAAAAGCAAAAACAAAACCGAAAAAAAATAAAAGTTTATTCAGATCCTGTTATTTAGATTCGGTTTGTTTCGTTTCGTTTGGTTGGTTGATTTGGAGACCAAGAATTGGAACCAGAGAATTCATTCCAAAAAAAAAAAAAAAAAAATTGCGGTTTGAATGAATGAACGAACAAACAAAAAAAAAAAAAAAATATCAACTGAAAATGAGCACACATACATATAAGCGCATAATAAGTAATTCACGAATTGCATTTTTTTGTTTGTTTGTTGGGACATAAAAAAAGAGTGTGTGTGTGTGTGTGGTATACAATAATCTTTTTCATCTTTTTTTTATATTTTCTCTTACAAATATCATCATCATCATCATCATCAGATCTCTAGCTCTCTCTCTCTCTCTCTCTTTCCAATGATAATTATTTTATGGTCAAATAATAATGGCAAAACTTCATAGATCCTTGGCTTTTTTTCGTTTGTTTGTTTGTTTGTTTGATTTCCATTAGATTTGCCTTCTGTGTGTGTGTGTGTGTGTATATGTTTTTTGTGGCCGCGTATCCATTTGATTTGATTTGATTTCTGGTTCTGTACAGAAGATTCATTGATCAACTACACACACACACAAAGAATCAAATGAGAAATATAAACCCCGGAAAAAAATATATGAAGATGAGAGATAAAGAAAATGTTCCAGTATTCGATATATAATTAAATGGAATCAAATATAAATATTTTTTTTCTTCGTTTCATGGACAGTTACCATTCCTAGCCATCATACAACAACAGCAACTGAAATGAAATATTCTGTTTGATTCTGTGTCTTGTTTTGATTTATTTTTGGTTCTGTGTGTGTGTCTTTTGATTAACTTGAATTCTATACACTTACACACTAGACAGACAGACAGACAGAGAAAGGGTTAATTTTTTTTTTTTTTTTTCCAGATGCTCTCGTTTAGTTTTTATCTTTTTTTTTGTTTCGTTTCTAAAATAAAAGAGAGTGGCTGATTAACTTTTTTTTTCGATTCTTGATTCACGATATCTGTGATTTGATATGGCCTAGAAGCGTTTTTCTTTTTCGGAGGGGAAAAAAAATCATAACCAGAAGCAAATTTTTCGTCTCGATATCTGATAATCATTATAATGTGTGTGTGTTCGATTTATTCTATGAGCTGATCGTTTTTTATATTCACGTTTTCAAGAAAAAAAACGAAAGAATCTCAAAATCTAAATTGAATTGCAAAAGAATTGCAAAAAAAACACTGAAAGAAAATTTAATTTTCACAGCATCGTCTATCTATAATGTTGTTGTTGTTGCTGTTGCTGTTGTCTAGAATTTTAGAATTTGATTAGAACTTTTATGCTAAAAAAATAAATGGACGAAAAAAAAGCGATTCTCGTGTCCAGCATTTTCCTGTTGTTGTTGTTGTTGTTGTTGTTGTTGGGTTGATTTTGATCTAAACAACAAATAAAAAAAAACGAACAAACAAACGAACTGAAGAATGAAAAAGTTTCTTATCAATTTTTTTTTCGAGCAAATTTCTTTTTTTTTTACTTTTCATTCTTGATTCTTCACACTATCAACAACGATGAGCAAGATATTTATTTTAACACTGGTGGAAATGAATATTGTCTGTGTGTGTGTGTGTTGAAATAGAAAAAAATTAGCATAAATAATATATTCGCGTTATTACTTCTCACCATGTCAGTAGCAATGTTCGTTCGTTCGTTCGTTTTTTTTTCGAAGTAAAAGTTTTATGATGTCTAAGAATGAAATTCTTTAAAATAAAAACATACAAAACATGCTGAATTGAAATGACAACAAAATTCTTGATACAGAATGATGCACGTTGTTTGTGTGTGTGTGTATGGGGCTTCAGTTTATCATTTTTTTTTCTGTCCATTAGTTATATCAATAATCTTGGTGATGATGATAATTTGCAAATTTGTTTATTTTTTTTTTTATTTTTTTATTCTGGCTGAAAAATTTCTCTTTTGGGGTTTGTCACGAAACTTTCTCTGTGTTTGTTTGTGTGTGTGTGTGTGTGTGTTCGTCATATATTCCATGATGAGCCAGAATCGAATCTTTTTTTTTGTCAGTGGTGCAATTTTTGTTTTGTTTTCAACTTTTCACTTTTTTCACGAATTTATCTCTCTATTTTCGTTTTTCTTCGTTTAGTTTCGTTTTTTTGGTGCATGTCATTGTCTATCATTATTTTGATGTATGTGTCTCTGTCTCTGTGTAAAAGTCTCCAATTTTAACTATATTATATTGAGAAACTTACAGAATGAATGATGTGAAACTTGTGCTCGAGAATCAATGAATGATTGATCGATCTATGCTCGTTCAATTGACATTTTCATTTTCAAATTTCATTCATTCGAACAATCTGACTTCTTTTTTTTTTTGTTTCTGCATCACGTGAAATTCATTCGAACAACATGATGGCAGAAACAAACAAATGGCAGTTGTCACCTTTGTTTGTTTCTACCATGGATGGTGTTTATTGTACTTTTTTTTATTTTAAATTCAATTCATTCATCCATTGAAATGAATTGAAATCATCCTCAACATCATCAACAACAACAACAACATCTTTATCGTCGAGATGATGATGATGATGATGATGGTTAGTTAGTTCCAAGTGTAAAACATTCAATGAATAATTCAGCAGAATTATACAAATATAATATACTCCTCACGCGTTCATACACACCGTTTTACTTTCATTTTCATCAAAAAGATCAAGAGTTTGGTTTATTTTACAGAAAACAAAAAACAAAACAAAAACTATTATCCAACCAACCAGCCAGCCAGCCAGCCAATTCCCAAGTATCGGAATTTTTTTTTCATCATCATCATCTCCATACTTTATGTTTTAACATTTTCATGGCAATGAAAATGAAAACTTTTCAATTTTCATCGCTTTTGGTGTTTGTGTGTGTGTGTGTGTAATGTATGAATTTTTAATGCGTTTTTTTTGTATTCGCTCCATATTTTTTTTTTTTTTTTGCCTTAAACTGTCTGTCTCTAATCCGGATTCTTTTTTTGTTGTTTTAGATATCAATTGCTTGATTGAAAATTTTTTTGCCTGATAAATTGAAACAAAAAAAATTCAAGTGGTGCCTAGTGTTTTGAATTTTTTTTTTTTTTTTTTTTTTTTGATGATTTAGATTGTCCAGTTAGTTAAACAATAATGGAAATGAAAACAAAAAAGAAACGACAACGACAACGAAAACGACGAATAACGGAATCACAACGGAATAACAAAATGACAACAACAACGACAACGACAGCAAAAATTTCCATTTGTCAATGTCAAAAAATCATGGAAAACAATAATCATCATCATCATTATAATCATGGCTTATTGTGTCATTTAATTGATAATTCAAATGATAATGATCATCAACAAAATCCTGATAATAGTACAATTCTATACAATACATCGATACAATCGATATTTGGATCAAGATATTTTCAAAAACAACAACAACGACAACGACAACAACAATTATTTATCTTGCCATCATCATCATCGACGGCGACATCCATTTCCGATCATTGTTTTCGATTTTTGTCCACCACCATTATTTATTTTCATCATTCATTATTTATTGATTTAAATATTTCTGATCAAAAACGACGAAAATCTTTTATTCATCAACCACTACTACGACAAATACAACGAAAAATGTGGATACGTCAACAGTATTTATTATTATTATCATCATTGTTTTTATCAGTGTTTTGTTTTGGTTTTGTTTTTTCATCTATTACATCACCATCATCATTCACTTTTAGTTCAATTCAAAATTCAAATCAAAGTGATAATTTATCCTATTCATTACCTATGAATCAATCATCATCATCATCCACAACAGCAACAACAACAACAACAATTTCCACGACAACAGTGATATCCAATGATAATTTGTTCAATTCATCCAAATATTTAATTAATAAAGAAAATTTTGATTGGTCATCATCACCATCATCAAATCATGATCATCATCATCATTTATTGATTAAAACATCTAAACGTTCTAATCCAATCGATGATTTTATCAATATCGATGAAGATGATAATGATAATACGGATGATGATAATGATGATGATGATATTATGTTTATTATTGATGATAGTGATGTTGATGCTGTGCCTGATACAATTGACGATCCACCACCGCCAAATCAACCAATTCGACGACAAAAAAAATCTTCATCACCATCATCATCATCATCATCATCTGAAGAAGAAGATTTTAATATTAGTGGAAAACAGCAACAGCAACAACATTCATTTGTCAATGATAATGTTGATTACGTGATGCATAGTCCACGTACAGTGCAAACAAAATATGGTGCATTACAAGGAATCGTCATCACTTTTGTTCGTTATAATGATGATGATGATGATAAATCATCTACTTCTACTTCCACGTCTTCTAATCAAAATCACAATAACTCATCTTCAACTTCATCGATACCGCCACCACCACCGCAGCCAATTATAACTTTATCACCGGTTGAAGCTTTTTAGGTGTACCATATGCAACACCACCATCAGGTAATCTACGTTTTATGCCACCAGTGGCACCTATTCATTGGCGTGGTGTACGTCAAGCAAATCATTTATCACCAGTTTGTCCACAATCATTACCATCATTTACAACGATGATGAATTTATCTACAACAACAAATGATCATCAAAAACAATTACATTTATCACCAAAACATTTTGATCGTTTACAGAGACAAATTCCATTCCTAAGAAATCAAAGTGAAGATTGTCTTTATCTGAATATTTATGTTCCATTTGAACATTATTATCAACATCGTCTTTATCAACGACAACGGCAACAGCAACAAAATCGGAAATTAAAATCAACAACATCGCCAACATCATCGTTTGGTAAGTGAATCTTGTCGTTTTTCTTTGATTATCATGAAGAATTAGCTAGTATAATGGCTGATGAGAATGTTTCATTTTTGTTTTGTACAAAAAAAGAAATTCTTAGTTAAATTTTGCCCCAGGTTCATGTGTGTTTCAAATGTTTGTTTTGTTCTATTCACATATATTACTCGTTTATTTGAAAATACGCGGTTGAAAAAACAGAAGAAATTTTTTCGAATATATTCGTATAATGAAATTGAGAAAAAGAAAATCTCTGTATTATGATGATTATGAAATTCACACACACACGCACACAATGTAACGGGAATTATAAATGTGGAAGAATGAAAGAATTTTGCCCATCATCATCGTCAATGTTAATCCTTGACAATCTTTCTCTCTCTCTCTCTCTTGATGTCTTCATTTTTTTTGCTATGATTATCATATATGGAAAATGTTCAAAGAAAAAAAAAAGGAAATGACTAAATGAATGAACGAAAAAATGCTCCAATTCCTTGGAGATTTTCCAACAAAAAAAAATATGCATTTTTTTGTCTGCTTTTAATTGTCGCATCATTTTCCATGATGATGATGATGATGATAATTTTCATAATTATTATGGATAGATAGATAGAATAGTGGAAATGGTTGAATAAAGTCAATGGCAAATCTGCTTGTTTTGGCTGAATTTCGCTCTTTTTTTTCTTAATCCATGTGATTCATCAAAAAAAAAAAAAAAAAATTTTTGATTTCAAACTTTCACACATATATCGAGATTTTTTTTTCGTTGTTGTTGTTGTTAACAGTTGAATTTCCAAAAAAAAAAAAGTTCAATGTAATTTTTGTAAAGAAGAAGAAGAAATGTGTAAAGTCTGATAATTTGATTATTTTATTGACTGATGATTTCTCTCACTTACTCTCTTTATTTTTTCTAGCTTTTGAATCAAATTGAGAAATTTTTACGATTCAAAATTCATGTCATGATGTGTGACCGTTTCAAAAAAAAAATTTACAAGAAAATTTTTTTCTTTTTTTCTGGAAAACTATTCCCGGAAAAAAAGGTTGAGTTTTTTTCTATAGAAATAGTCGAACATTTTTTTATTATACCGATGATGATGAACTTTATTCATTACAGAACAGAAAAAAAATTTTTTTTTTTCAAATCGATCGAAGAATGGTCAAAATGTAGAATTGAAAAAAAACTACAGAATTCTTTATTACAATTTGTCCTTCTCTCTCTAAACTTCTCTGCTAAGTTACTCCAATGGGAATTATCTTATTTATGTGAAAAAGTTCAAGAATTCGATTTCGATGCCCCAATGTATATACAATAACTATATCGACTAGATTTGTATTGGTAATTTTGTGAGAGAGAGAGAGAAAAATTTTTTTCGCCAACTCATCAGCATTTATTGCCACAGAAAAACAATAACAACAACAACAACAACAGGACAATGATCAAATTGTCTTTGTTGTTGTTGTTGTTATGCGGTTGTTGTTCATCGAATGAATGACACACAGACATTAATGAGTAATTTATTTTTTTTTTTGGCCTTCAAATACATTCTGTTATCATCATCAACCAATGATGATGATGATGATGATGCATTTTTTTTTCATCACACACACATCACACATTTGTTGTGTTTACATGTGAATAAACATTTGATGATCTAATGTGGATGTGGATCTCTATGTCGGTTGTTTGTTGAATTTTTTTTTCAATTTAAATTTTACATTCAAAAAACTGAGCGATGACAAAAATCCAGATGTTTTTCAAATTTCCAAAAAAAAAAAAAAAAAAAAAAATTTTAATTATAATGAACCAAAAAAAAAAAAACTAAGCAAACACTTTTACTGCTACTGCTACTGCTACTGGTGGTGGTGGTGGTGGTGGTCATTTTCATTTTACATTTCCAGTCCAATGAATTTGATTTTGTGAAACAAACAAACACACCGAAAAACAGGTGCATCTTTTTCACACATATGCTCAATTTTTTGTTTCGGTGATGACATAATTTCTTGTTTTTCTTACGGACACAGAGAGAGAGAGAGATTTAAAAATTAACAAAAAAACCTAGTTACACACACCACCACTGCCACCATAGTTCAAAAACTAAAAGATCAAATCAAATGATTTTAATATCAACAAAAAAAAAATTTTTTTTTGTTTTCCATTCAATCATCCTAAAGAAAACAAATGAAAGTGAAAGTGAAATTGAAACATTTTTTTAATAATCATCATCATCATCGGTATGCATAACAACAAACATGACAGAAAAAAACACCACCAACAACAACATCATTATTTATTTGAAGAAAAAAACTAACAAAAAAAATGATGATCCTTTTTTTCCATTTTTCTTGTTTTCCATTCAATCATCCTAAAGAAAACAAATGAAAGTGAAAGTGAAATTGAAACTTTTTCAGTGTGAAACATACATACACTCGAATATTTTGCAAACATAATCATCATCATCATCATCGGTATGCATAACAACAAACATGACAGAAAAAAAAACCACCACCACCAACAACAACATCATTATTTATTTGAAGAAAAAAACTACTGTTTGTTTGCATTATATTCTTTCTTTTTTTTTTTTGGGGGGGCCTTCGATAATGATGATGATGATCCTTTTTTTTCCATTTAATGCGGTTGATACTACAACGACGACGACGACGACGAACGAACGAAAGACATCCGTTATTCATCACAAGTGTATCGAATGAAATGAAATGAAATTCACATTGTATTCACCGTTTTTTCTCTCTCTCTCTCTTTTTTTTATTTCAATATATTTAAATTGGCATCATTAATAACTTCAATGGAAAAAAAGCAACTACAGAAGCAAGCAAGCAAAAAAAAACACAAAAATAGAAAATTCAAAATAACATTGAATATGCATTGGCAACTAGAAGAAAAAAAAACAAATTTCCGTTTTTGTTTATTCGTTTCTTTGGTGAAAAAAAAACAGAATCACAGAATCAGAATGATGGAATATGGGAACAAATATATCAACAAAATACCAAAATGTGCAAGCTTGTTGTTCGTGTTCTTCTTCTTCTTCTTCTTCTTTTTTTTCCAATTCATTTGGTGTGGTTTTTTTTTCATTCATTGGTAAAATGGATGAATGAAAAAAAATTCTGAAAAATTGTCATGTCATTTATGTGTGTGTGTGTTCGTGTTTCCTTACTCCCACGCACATATTTTATGTATGTGTGTGTGTCGATTGTGTTTCAATCTATTTCCGGATCCGCAAACAACCGAAAAAAAATAATAATATCTAATTGGCTGAAAAACCAAACTGAATATTTTTGTTTACCTATTGCTGCAAACACACGTACGTTTTTTTTTGGATATTTGTCATTTTGTGGATATTTCATCATCATTTGTTGCTAGTTTTTTTTTCGGCATTTTATTATGACGATAATAAATAATAAATAGTAGCCTTTGGGCATCGTTGTATTTCAGATGGTCGATTCCATTTCATTCATTATTTATATATCGAGGTTTATGTGTGAAAAGTTAAACTTGCAAGAAATGTAAAAAAAAAATTTGACCATTTTAATGAAGTAACAAAACAAAACAAAAAATGCATTGCAGTGAAGAGCACATTTCATCTGTCTGTGTGTGTATTTAGCCTATTTTTTTTTTTTTTTTTTTTTCTGTTTATTCCACCATTTCATTCTCACTTTAATTAATGCGAATTTTTTTCAAACTAAATTCTTGAAAAACAAAAACAAAATTCATGTTTTTTTTGTTCACAAAGATTAAAACAAAAAAAAGGCTCAACCAAAAAAAAAAAAAAAAAATACGGATTCCACTACTCATCGTGATCACTTTTTTTCTTGTTATTCGTGTAAATGAAAACTTTTTTTAACAAAAAAAAAACGAGAGAAAAATACATAAAACACACACACACACACCACGCATACAAAACAAATACAGTGAGTGTGTGTGTGTATTGGGTGTATTGGGTGTGCGTGGGAAGAAAAAAGAAAAAGAATATAAAGTGGAGGAGAAAAAAAAATCTAATCGAGCGAATAAAGTCCAATTAGTTTTTTTTGTTGTTGTTGTTTGTAATTTTGTTCATTTTGTCAGTAAGTATAATCTGAATATATCTATCTATCTTTGTGTGTGTGTGTGTGTGTGTAATTGATGATTAAAAACAAAAATTCTTGATACTAAAATATCCAATTTGTTTGGTTATTTGTTTTGTTGTTGTTGTTGTTGTTGTTGAAAGTCTTTGTATAAGTGAAATAGAGAGAGAGAGAAAAAGCTAGTCAGTTGTTGTTTATAGTTTTTTATTTAAACACACACACACACACACACAAGTTGACACAATTAATCATTGATCAAATACCAATAATAACAACAACAGCAGCATAAAGAATTCATAAAATACACTTGATTCACATATAGCATCGTTTTATTTGATAATAGTTTTTCACTTTAACTCTCTTTCTTGGATATATCTTGATCATCGTAACAAGAAGAATTTTTTTTTCTTCTGGAATCTCAAGTGATTGTGTGTGTGTGTGTGATACACGATTCTTTGGTGATGATTTTCACACACACGCCCAGAACTCAAACACACACACACACTGGGTGAGACTCGATTTTCATGTTTGAATCGTTTTCTATTTGTTTTTTTTTCGCGTTGTTATTATTCATTCAACAGGAAAAAAATTTTCAGTGTTCGATGAATTCATTTTTTTTGCTTTCTTTTTTTTTGTTTGGTTCATTTTAGATAACAAGAATTTTTTTTGGCTTTTGATTCAAACTTTTGGATTTATAAATGAATGAAAAATTGAAAAAAAATTATCTTGTTTTGTGCACATTTTTTTTGTTTGTTTGTTTGTTTGAATGAATGAATGAATGAATGACAAAAAAAAACACATCCACTAGCTAAGAAAAATAAAACAGCCGCATCATTTCATCCGAGAATAATCAAATAATCATCATCATCATCATCATCATAATTTTTAATCAAAGTTGAAATGATGAAAACAAAAAAAAAAC